AAACTATTAACTATTACAAAACAAACTATCACTAAACTATTAACTATTACAAAACAAACGATCACTAAACTATTAACTATTACAAAACAAACTATCACTAAACTATTGACTTAACTATTAACTACTAGTAAACTATTAGGTACTAGTCAGTCAGTCAGTCAGTCAGTCAGTTTGGACCTGGTGGATCTGAACTCTTCATGTTTTCATAAGAAAAAGAAAAAGCAGCTCCTGGAGCTGAAAGTGAAGCAGGACCACCTCTTTCTGTTAAAGCTGCTCTACAACAGAACGGGTCCAAAAGAAAATAATCAAGGTTCTACAGAGGTCCGGTCAGAGTCCAGAGTCCAGAACCTGAACCTGATCTTCAGAGAGCTGAGCAGAACCTCAGAGTGGGCCAGAAGTTCTCCACAACCACAGGAGACTCTGATCCAGAACCACAGAGTTCTGCAGCCGGATCAGGACCCTGGGACCAGTTTCTGTGTAGGACTCTGTGGAACTGACTCAGTTTTTGTTTTGAGGCTCGACTCAGTTCAGATCCTGGACAAACGTTTTGTTTACGTCCAGATCTGAAAGATCTAATTTATTGTTTATTTTCCGTCACTGAGTTTAATAGAATTAAATTAATGTTAAAATAAAATCTGTTTCACTTTAGTCCTGAAGTTCAGATCAAWGAGAAAAAGTTTGAAGTTTTTAATGTGCTGTTTGGACTCAGATTATAAAACCTGTAAACAACCACCTGTTCAGGTTTTAATTATTCAGTTTGTTTATTTTCTGATGATAAATTTATGTTTTTATTTCAGTGATTTCAGCTGCAGATGAATTTATTTACCTTGCAGGTTTATTGTTTATTTTTTGTGTTTAGATGTTTGATTGTGCGCTTGCAGCAGGTTGTTTTATAAAAGATGTGATKTTGGTGCGTCTCCTGATCAGACCTCCTCCTSCTGCTCCTCCTCCTCCTGCAGAGGCCTTGCAGTGCATGGTGGCTGTCTGAGGACGACGCTAACTGGAGACCATGCCAGGAGGTCGCAGGGGTCCCAGCAGACAGCAGCTGAGCCGCTCCTCTCTGCCCTCCCTGCAGACTCTGGTGGGGGGCAGCGTCAGCAACGGGACCGGCCTCAGGAGCAGGTACTGGGTTCTGGGTCTTTGCTTGGGTCAAGTCAGGATGGAGTAAAGTTCTGCTCCTCCTCTGGTGTAAATATGAATATTTCATGTTATTTCTAATAAAACCCAGGTTATTTGTGTCACTTGTAGCTGAATCCTCCCTGTCAGTAAAATGTTTTTCAGTGTTTCTGCTGTTCCTCCTGCAGGAGCAGTAACTCTGTGGGTCTGTCGGCTCCTCCTCTCTCTGCTCTCATCACTCCGGAGCCGGTGCGTCACTCCAGGATCCCTGAGCTGCCATTGGACGGCAGCCTGCTGTTTGAGTTCCTGCTCTTCCTCTACCTGCTGGTCGCCCTGTTTGTTCAGTACATCAACATCTACAGGACGGTGTGGTGGTACCCCTACAGCCACCCTGCTGCCTCTACCTCGCTCGTAAGAGCACACACACACACACACACACACACACACACACACACACACACACACACACACACACTGATCATATTCACTGCAATGTACCATATTTTTCAGACTATAAGCTGCACCGGACTATAAGCCGCACTCCCAACATAAAATAAACCCAGTACACCCAAATTTGCCCTCAAAAAAGTGGATTCAACATCAAAACATAAAAAGCAAACCTTTAGGAATTAAAGTTCGGAGGAATACGGTTCATTTAACTGACCTTATTTTGGTAGTTTTCTTTAACAGTTTCTG